CAAAAATTATTGAGGATAATATAATTAAAAGTATGATATATCAGTTTCATATTTTGTGATTATTTGACTTGATATTCAACTTTTAAAATAAATCTTTAAAAAACATTTTAATTAAAATTATGTTTAAAATGTTATGAGCCAATATTAAGACCAATTGATTCCCTCAAAAATATTATTCTCTATACATTTTGTAATGGGTAATTTTACTCTAAGATTATTCAAAAATAATTCTACAAAAATGCATTTTTTTTATATAGCACATGGCCAGAGACATAAAATAGTRAGCTGACATCCTCATAAATATAAATGAACCAAAGAAAAACTAGATTATAATATTTATTTTAAATTGCAATTTTGTTTAAAAAGTAACATTTTTTATACAATGTTTTATTTAAATAACAGAATAGCAAATTATATTTAATGGGCAAATAGATCATTATAAAATAGTATTTCAAACATTTTATTCATGTTCAAATCTGATATTGTGGTAATTTAATGGCAATTTTTCGTCTAAGTATGCATGTATGTGTCAGTGTAGTAATGACATAAACTAAAATCACTTGCCATAGATCATCACTGAAATACAGAATCCAATCTATACCTAATAGCACTAAAAACAGTGCCCACCCTTTCTTCCATCTATACATTTGTTTGTGCGTAAGAACGTACATCTGAGCTAATCGGAAGAGAATACTACAAAAGTGAAGCCAACCAGTATCCAACGAGTCATCTTCCTGAAACAGTATACAAGTTAATTTTTAATTATGTTAAGTTTAAAAATATTGATTAGCATGAAGATCAAAATTAAAAGGGCCCAGACTTATACACATTTTCTATTCAAAATGAAATTAATTGCATAAATTAGTATTTTTTTTTTTTACACTACAATCCATYATTATTATCATAGATACTTCATACCTCAGTTGTCCAACTCCTCCATGAATCCATTACTATAACAATACTATGGATAATTAGAAAAATAGTAAAAATTAAAGATGTTTTGTCGATGAAAGATAAAGGCTCTAAAGTAGGCAATGGTCCAACTGAAAAATTAAAAATATTGTTAATTAAATATTATTACCTATAATTCCTAACAYATATTTGTAAATATAATAAATATTTATAACAATTGTATTTAACTAAATACCAAAACATAGAATGCAAATATTAGGTTTTGGCCGTTTTGGGTATTAAATTCCACTAAATCCCTTGCAGAATAATTTGATATTATTAAATGCAAAAGAAGTGATAAAATAGTAGGTACATATATGTACATGATATGTTTAGGAAAACGACATAAGAAATAAAAATGACTTCTCTAAACTATCTTGATAAAATATATGAACTATTGAGATACTATGTATTACATGTAAAATGTAGCAGTTGTCTACTAATTAGTTTATTTAAAAATTAAAATAAAACTTATTTTCTTCAAAATCTAAGAAAAGTAACAAACATTTTATTATTTTATCAACAGTTATAACTAAATTATTATAACTTATAAAGTTATAACCAACAAATTAAAAAAAAATCATTACAATTTATAAACACTAATTTGTATTTCATAACATTATCAATTGGGCAACAACATTTCAAAAAGCATTTATAAGATGTGAACTAAAAGTAAAACTTGATTGAAATTTTTAGTGTTGTAAAACATAGAATCTATACAGGATAGATCGTTATTTTCAATAAATAAATAATTATTAGATTCTTATTTATTATATATTATTATTATATTATTATTATATACTTATATATAATATAACTATATACCTATATTGAAAATAATAAACTAAATTATAATATTTATCAGTATTTTGTATTTATACTATACCTGTACAGTCATACCAATATATTAGCATTTATTATTGCTCTTAAGAAATTTACCTCTAACTGTCGGAGGAATAACTTGTGGAGTATGAATATTATTCTTAGAATTTTCTTCAACAATAAATACTTCTTGAGGTGGATCTAAAGTAATATCACGAGTAATTTCAGCCAAATTTATTCTGGATGTCAGTTGTTGAGGTTTATTATACATTTGTTGAATAGGATGTATAGTAGTATCTAAATGATATTAATACATATATTGTAAGAATATGAATTAATAAAATAATAAATAATAAATAATTTTTTTCTAGGCCCATGAAGTGTTTTTAAGGGGTGTTTAAGATATAGAACTAAAAAAAAATASATAAGTCTAACTTAATTCTATTCCCTTTGTGATTCGAATTGTAGAGATTTGACTGTGTTAATGAACCATGTATTATGGCCATGGATATAGGCAGCATATTATATTTTAAATTAAATAATATATTAATATCTTGAATTGATATTTTTAATTTTTTATAGTGTAAGATCTATTTTTGTGAAGTGGTCACAAAATTGTGTTCATATATTATCGCTACCACATAAACTTATCGTAAACATTATTACAGATTGTATGTTTTTAATAAAACATATAAAACTATACATATAAATACATCAAGAATTTAAAAATCAAACTTTACTTACCTATTTTAAATATTGATGAAATTTTTTTTGATATCAAACCATAGTTTTATGTATTTTAAATATAAATAAATATTTAATTATAAACAATGCCTTATTTTGTTTTGTACAAAAATGTATTTACTTCAAATTTAGTTTATTTAAGTAATAAGATCATAACTGTTAGATTTATTAATTTAACAAGGCATCTACAGACTAATAATGTTTTAATTTGATGTTTCCAGTCCATACTATCTTATTTTGTGATTTGTATACAAATAATACATTTTACTCGAGGACCACACAAAATTACAACATGGGCTACATGCGGGTTACCGACATTTGTGTTTGACCAATAACATTGAGATAAAAAATTTTAAAAGCGGGTAAGTGGGTTATCGCTCTGCTGTACATTGAGGGTGGGGTGGACCTCTGACTAGGGTAGGTTACATTTGAATGCAATGATAGGTATCATTGTATACGAAAAACGATTCTGAACGGAGACGGTTTATCTGTCTAGGATATATTATAGATTATTCAAAATTTTCAAATCTTAGATTTAAAAAGAAAATTTTTTATGAATTTCTAGCTTAAAATAATTTTCGTGATTTTTACGTATGTTTTCAAATTTTAAATTTAAATGCTTGTAAAAAAAATATGTGACTATG